TAAAAAATGATGATAAAAATAAAAAAATAAAAATTAGAATTGTTCTGGACAAAGTAGATGCTCACCCTAAACCTGTGGGCTAAGGCACAGGAAGGTGACCTTCAGGACGAGGTCTGGCCAGTGTTCCCATGGCCCTGAGTGCCCTCCCAGTAAGTGTGAGCTCCCCGAACGGAGCCATGCCCTCCTTGAGGCCTCTGGTAGCAGAGCCAGGTCTAGGTCATGTCAGAAGGTCATTCTAGGGATGCCTGGGTGGCTCAGTCAGTTAAGCATCTGCCTTCAGCTCAAGTCATGATCCCAGGGTCCTGGGATCAAGTTCCGCATTGGGCTCCCTGCTCAGCGGGAAGCCTGCTTCTCCCTCTCCCTCTGCCCCTTCCCCTGCTTGTGCTCTCTCTCTGATGATAGATGATAGATAGAATAGATAGATAGATAGATAGATAGATAGATAGATAGATAGATGATAGATAGATGATAGATAGACAATAAAAGAAAAGAGAAAAGAAAAGAAGGGGAAGGAAAACTAATAGGTACAGGGCCTTGGAAGAGGCCCATGTAAGTGTGGGGTTCTGAAGCTTTGGGGTAAATCCACCTCTGAGGGAAACTTCCTTCCCCTCTGACTGGAGACAGACCTCAGGTGAAGAGAGCAGCCCCCTTCCCCTGCCCCGTGGTGCCCAAGCCAGGATCCTTGAACTGCCTTACCTGGTCTTGCTTTAGCCTAAGGTAGCCAACATCAGGGGTGCTCCAGTGGGTCACAAATGGGCATGAGGAGTGGCCTCATTTTCTTTTTGACTTCACCTCAGATTAGGCCTGGCCCTGCCCTCCACCTCCAGGCTTTCCTCACACGCCTCTCTGTTAAGCACCAGGTATGGGTTGGGCCAGAGATATCTCTGCCTTCTGGAAGTTTTTGGTCCAGTAGAGCAGTTTCTACAGTAATCTTAAAACAGTCTCCTCTCCCTTTGAAGTCATCCTGTATCGGTGCGCATGCCTACATTGCGTAGTTCCCTTCCTAGTGCATTGGGATCATGGGGGAAAGTTAGTCTGAATTTAAATGCGTGCACACCACACTTCTTCCGCGACACCACCCAAGTTGGGCTTGGAATGCGCCCTTAAAGAAGAGGGAGAATAAAAATGTTACTGTGGTTGGATAAGTCACTCTAGTAGGAGAGTAATACCTTCTGCTGGGGTATGTGGAGGGCTGGAATTTGGCAGCAGTGTATGTATATAAATAAACACATTTTTAATTTACTGCAAGTTACTGCTTGTCTTTACGCATCTTAAACCTATAAAAATGATCCCAGCTAGGAAATAAAAGTTGTGGATTTTTTTTTTTAATTTATTTTTTTTTTTAAAGATTTTATTTATTTATTTGAGAGAGAGAGAATGAGAGACAGAGAGCATGAGAGGGAGGAGGGTCAGAGGGAGAAGCAGACTCCCTGCCGAGCAGGGAGCCCGATGCGGGACTCGATCCAGGGACTCCAGGATCATGACCTGAGCCGAAGGCAGTGGCTTAACCGACTGAGCCACCCAGGCGCCCAAAAGTTGTGGATTTTTTAAAAATTAAAACCCAGACGTGAAAACCCGGGAATTTCTGTTGCCTATAATTTAATTCCTAACATATCTGACACAATCCAAGTTTAACGGATTTTTTTTTTCTTTTCGATTCTGGCATGTTAACAGGAGGCAATTATGTGAATTAATAGAAAATCCTTTTATTAAAAAAACAGAAAAGCCTTCATTTAAAGAGGTAATTTAATATTCTTTCTGTGATGGTGTTGATGTCATAACTTGTTTGATTAACTCTTCAAATGGTTTCAAAGCGCTTCAGGGTGGTAATTTATGAACTCCTAATTGATTTCCCCAATCTTGGTTTGGCAGAGTTAAGCCTCCCGGAAACCATGAGGAGGCTGGAGGCCTGTACTCGGCTTCCTCCTCAGACATGGGAGCGGGCTGGGATGGACTCTACCTCTGCGGCCTGGACCCCAGTGGGGGAGAAGAGGCTCTGGCGCAGGGGACAAGAGACCATGACGTCTGACCAGGCCAGCTGTGGTTCCTGACTCCTAAGCAGCTGGGCTTTTTGCCTCCTCTGAGGATGTGTGGAAATACTGCAGGAGATTTCACAGCTCATGAATTCAGGAATAAATGGCCTCTTAGTCCACAGCTTTCAAAAACTATTTCCCACTATGCGTCACCCCAGAACATGAGGCTTCAGTGAATGGGGAAAAGACGAGGGGGGGTAGACGGTGGGGGTGCAGCCCTCGCCATGGGCCTGTGACCTCTCCATTTCCCCGTCTAGGCTTCTGTTACTCACTAGGCCTGTCTCAGTACTGTGCAGAGAGAGAGCTTTGGGCCAAGTACTCACTTCTTAAAGCTGCCATGAAAGCTCACTGAGTAATCAAGGCCTGGCAGGACCCCGGGAAATAATCATACAGTTGTTACCTTTATTGTGTGCCCAGTGATAATCTATTCTCAAACCTCTTAGACAGCGAATAGCTGCCCCCACTTCACAAATGAGCAAAATGAGGGTCAGAGGTTAGTACCACGATACCAAGTGGTATGACTGGGACTCCACCCAGGCAGCCAAGCATCCCCACCCCTGTCAATAGAAGGTCACTGTATTCTTGGTCACAAGGTTTACGCTCCTGAGGACAGGCCTGGGCCTTTCATTCTGGGGCCTCCACCCCTAAGGTGCATCCCAGAGTAGTGTGCAGTCATGCAAAGAGCTCTTGCTGGCCTTGGAGTCTAACAAACCTGGGCTTTGGCTTCCTCATCTGTAGAATGGGGATAATATCCACATCACTGGTTGTTGGACTAAATGAGATGATGTAAGTCCTTGGCACATCAACAGGGAATCAGAAAATGTTCCATGAAAGGGGATAAGGAAGCCATGGGGAGGCTGGATGGTGAATTCCCAACTGTGTTGGGAGCTAAGTTCTGAGCCAAGAGTAGGGAATAGGAGGCAGAGCCGTTTGGCCAGGGCCGAGGGTCTCTGTAGGGTACAATGAGATGGGGCATAAATAAGCCTGAACATCTTCCCGTGGGTGATGGGGCTCATTCGCTCAAGTGCAAAGTATAAGCAAGGCTTTGGGGAGGAGGAGAAAGGACTCTCTCCAGCCTGCTGACATCTGGCGGCCACGCCAGGCTGCTATGAGGCTCGCCCCTCTATTTGCTGTGGAAGTGGGGGGCCCAGACCATCAAGGGTCACTGGACGCAAAAATTCAAACACCGTCCGCCGTGGAGTCAGGCTGCAGAGGACAAATGGAGCTCTGACCCCAGGCACCGCCATCTGGAGGGGCTGTTCCCCGGGGGCCGGACCCAGGTGGGCGTTCTGGCATCTGGGGAAGCAGGGGAGGGCGATGTCAGCCCCGCCCCCACCCCACGGAGGGGCACCAGAGCACAGTGCCCATGCCCTCAGACTTGCAGGACTCGAAGGTACACTCTGCTACTGCCTGGGCTGTGTGACCCACGTCACACCCCACTCCTTTGTGTCTCAACTTCCTCACCTGAAAACGGAGATGATGAGGTGCCTCCCTCATAGGGCTATTGCAGTTCTGAGGAGTAAATGAGTTCATACTAACAAGAAAAGCTGTTGGAACCATGCCAGACACGTTGTCAGTACCAGGACACATTACAGAGCCAACCCCCACTGCGTGGAGGGCAGATGGCCCCCACTCCAGGTGGCCCCATCTGGGCCTCAGCAGGGTGACAGGAAATGCGAACAGCCAGGCCTCCAGCCTCAGTGCCCCTGCTCTGCTCCTCGTCCCTTGTGGGGTAGGCAAGAGCCACAGGAACCCCACCCTCAGACAGGACTCAGAGTCCCTTCCAACCCAGTGACACCCCAGGACTGAAATGTTCCCAGGGAGGGCTTCCAGCCTACCAGATGGTGGCGAACCATGGCCTCCCTCACCACCCTTAGCACAGATGTGAAGAGCCCCCTAACTCCTGAGACCCTCTCCCACTACCCACCCTCGAAACCCAGGCCCAAGGCTCTTTCCTTATACAGATCTCAGCTCAGAGGCCCTTCAAGTATTATTTATAATGTCGTTGGTGGGACCCAAGTGATTTTCTCACAAATAGAACAAGAGGGGGCCATAAGCGAAAGGTTAGGACAACTGAACAAACACCAGGTACCAGGGACACTCGGGTGCTGGGGCCCGAAGTGAGGAGGCCTCTCCACGCACACAACTCAGGCCCCCTCCCTTCTGACTTGGGCGCCTTTTCCCTTGGAACGTTTTCAGCTTTCCAGAACAGTCAGAGCCCCCGACTCCCCACAACTCTCAGGTTCCAGGCCCATGAGGAGCCATTGGGCCTCAGGACAAGAGCACCAGGGTCTACAGGGAGAGCCCTGGTCTGAGAGGCAGGATGGCTTCCCACCTTCTTATCTACACATGCTGCTGTCTTGGTCAAGTGGTTCTGTCCCTCGGTGACCTAGTCTCCCCCTCTCTACCAGGGCACTCATCCCTATCCTCATCCTCCCACCAGGACGGAGAAAAGCTTTAAAAATGGTCACTCTTTCCAAATGATGCTTAGCATTATCCAGAACACAGAAGGAGTTCTCATGCCTGGAATTCTGAGTCCTGTATTTGTAATTTGTGCTGCCCTACACAGGATGTGAGTCCCTGCAGGGTTTCTCTCTCCCTCCCGCTGAGATTTCCTTCCCCTCTGCTGGCCAAATGGACAAATGTAGAACCTAGCTGGAAAATGACATGTGATCCAGTACATCCAATTCCTCACAAGGGCCCGCTAAGCTTTGACCCACCCGATTATCCGTTAGAAATGGTCACCGAACTGGAAGCTCAGATTGAGAGGGAGGGAAGTTGAGAACATTCCATGGAGCCTCTAGAGAAAGATGGGGCCACAAGAAGCCTGTCATACTAAAAGGATGTCGGCTGTTCTCTGCCATTCTAGAAACACAGTGGAAAGGGGTCTTCTAACCCCCACACCCAGGCCCCCAAAGAACTCGACTGGACCCGAGAGGTGTCAGCCTCCCCGCCAAACGGCCTTACCTGGGTGCGCTGGGGCCTGGTCGGGTCAGGAGGTGCTGGTCTGTGTGGCGTGTGGTAGCTGCACACCCGGCCACCTCCACTGACATCCAAGAGCCTATTTTTAGGGTCAGATCTGCTGACGCTGACCTTGCCTGCTGCCCAGTCTGGGAAGAGACCCGTGGCATCTGCTTGCAAAAGGATGTGCCAGTGTGACCTGAAACCCTTGACTTTGGGAGCCCTGTACCTGGAGCCCACACGCTTGTCCCAGAGGCAGGACACGTGGCCGCCCAGCGCGGGGCAGGCAGGGGGATTTCCCAGCTTTGTCTTCTTGGGATGGACGAGGCCAGGTGTCCGTGGGGCCCTGCCCTGGGCTTTGTTCCAGAACAGCTGAAACAGGGGAGGTTTGCCAGCCGATGCAGAGTCTGTGGGAGGGTCGGGAGCACCCAGACTGGAGAACGACCCCCCACCCCAGTCCTCTTCTAGGAGCTCAAACAGCCATCTCTGGGTGGGGGGGTGGGGGGGCGGATGGAATGCATGTGCAGTATGGGGGGCAATCCGTGAAACACAGCAGACAGAGACTCTGTAAGCTGGGGTTTGTTTGCATTGTGTCATTTCATGTGAGACCTCCAGCAAGTGTCCAACCCTTCCAGGCTTCAGTGGGGAAAATAATCATAATACTGTCCTCTTGTGATTAAGAGGGCTAAATGAGATAAAGTATGGAAAACACTTGGCAAACATTTAAAAATGATATGAGGAGGCCCAAAAATATTTCCAGTTCAACAGTCACTCCCAGGTCTCTCTTCTTGGTGGCGCTTTCTCTCAACCTCCTGCCTCTTGGGCTCTAGGCTTCTTTGCCCCAGGAGCCCCCTCCCAGGCCCTGCTACTGTGATCCCCCTTTTTAGTGCTGAGGGCCATAGTCCTGTCAAGGCTCCATTAATATTCTATTAAAATCTTTCCAGGGCTTCCTACAGTTCCTTGTGTGAATGGGGTGTTCTTCTGTACTTCCCCATCCTTGTCACCCCCTTTTGGGCATACTTTACTGTGTGAAGGATCAGGCAGAGGGTGAAGGGGTCACTAGTCTCCCCATATGCTTCACTTAACAAAGCCTTCTTGTGTTGGGGTCATTAATTGTCCACTGCAACTTTGTATTCAGTATCCCAAAGATCTTTCTCACAATTTGCATGTTTAGCTACTGCCGGTTTCATTTAGGGTGATTATTTCTACCAGCATTTTTCATTATGAAACTCCTGAAAGACTTAGCTTTTATTGATTTCTTGGTGCAAAGAATATTCACAAGGCAGAGACTCGGCAGCTGAGTATGCCCAAAAGAGGGTGACAAGACTAGGGAAGGGTGGAAAACCGCATCAGTAATTATGAGGAATTGTAGGAAGTCCTGGGAAGATTTTATTGGAAAAAAGTGGTGGTGTCAGAAGACATCTGGTCTGTTTTCTAGCAGCTGAAGGGCTGACCTGTGATGGAAACAATAGCATTTTCTTTTCTTTTTAAGATTTATTTATTTATTTGAGAGAGAGAGAGAGAGAGAGAGAGAGAGAGAGAGAGAAAGAGCAGGGTGGGGGAGGGACAGAGGGAGAGGGAGAAGCAGACTCCCTACTGAGCAGGGAGCCTGATGCAGGGCTCGATCCCAGGACCCTGAGATCATGACCTGAGCTGAAATCAAGAGTCAGTCGCTTAACCAACTGAGCCACCCAGGTGCCCCCATTTTTTAAAAAAGATTTTATTTATTTTATTTGAGAGAGAGAGTGTGAGCACGCGTAGGGGGAGGAGCAGAGGGGGAGGGAGAAAGAATCTCTAGCAGACTCCACAGTGAGCGCAGAGCCTGACTCAGGGCTCGATCTTACAACCCTGAGCCGAAATCAAGAGTCAGAGGCTTAACCAACTGAGCCACCCAGGTGCCCCTACAATAGTCCTTCCTACACAACTCTAAGGGCAGAACTCAGGCACTGAGTAGTTCTCCCAAGGGTTGTCTTATGTGGACTCAGCAAACGCACCATTCTGCCGGGATGGGAGCAAGACAGGTAACCATCAGCTGGACTTGGTGATGTCTCCATCTGTTCCAAAGCCCAGGGTTAGTCCGCCAGGATTCCGTGCAACAGTGAATTGCACTAGTGCTGGTAAGTAAAGTATGATCTGTAGAAACAGCTGTTATGTTCATTGTAGCTTCTTGGGAATTTACACATGAGCATTTGACATGGGTTTCTCGCTACCACCACTTCTCTGACCCATGTTCTTTTCATTAGCAAATTTCTTCCCCCCAGAAGCTCCCATACTTTCCCCGCTTTCAGATACAGGTAGACACTGCTCTTTGCCCCAACTTCTCTGGATCAGAATCCCACTTGGGTCCACTGGCAAGGTGTGGTAGGTAGAATGCACTCCCCGAGCCAAAGATGTCCACGTCCTAATCCCTGGGACCTGTGAATATATCGTGTTACAGGGCAAAGGGGAATTAAAGTTGCAGATGAAATGAAGGTTGCTAATCACCCGGCCTTAAAATAGGGAGGGTGTCCTGGATCATTCAGGTGAGTCCAGTGTAATCACAAAGGTTCTTAGAAGTGGAAGAGAGAGGCGGCAGTGGAGGCTGGCGTGATGCAGTGTGGGAAGGATTCAACTCCCCGTTGCTGGTTTTGAAGATGGAAGGAGGGGCCACAGCCAAGTTGGAAAAGGCAAGGAAACGGATTCTCGCCCAGGACCTGCAGAAGGAAGGCTGTTCTGCCAGCACCTTGACTTTAGCCCAGTGAGACCCACCTCACGCTTCTGACCTACAGAGCTGAAAGATAATTTATGTGTTGTTTTAAGCCACTAAGTTTAAGGGAATTAGTTACAGCAGCAATAGGAAATCGATACATGAGATTTGACTCATACATGACTTTCCTGAGTCCAAAAGATCCAGAGGCTCCTAGGGCTCTGTGGATACCTGAGTTTATGTGGACACTGAATCCAGCTTGAGCCCAGGGAAGAGGGCGCCCACCCAGAGAGGGCCGAGGGTGCATCTCCATAGCTGATGCGTGTAGTCTGAAGACCCTAAGTCCTCTGCTCTCCCAGAGGTCTCTCCTTTCATGTTAAACAAAGCAAAGCTAACAACCCACCCAATGCCATTGTGTGTGGCAGAAGGGACCATGGCACAAAGCAGGAGACAACTCCAAATTCCATGTCTAACCTCCTGTTCTTAGGAAATTGTTGGCTGGGCCCCTTCCCCAGGGAATTTCTCCCTCCACAGACTTCTGTCCCTGTCCCTGCCCTGTCCACGAGGCTCCTCTCTGAAGGTGCTACCACAGCTTTCCTTCTTTTCCATTTTCTTGGTCTCTCACCTACCACTCTCAAGCTGAGTCTTTCAAGGGGCTTCAGATCTCTCTTCCTTTCTGATTGTGCAGAGCAGGTGCTCCCGCTCAGTCTCAACCTCCCAAGCAGGCTGAGCCTGGGGCTTCCCTCTCTCATCAAAAAGCCTCCCCAAGGCATTTTCCTGGCTATTTCATCAATTCAAAAAGGGAATTTCTTGACTCCCCTAGACAATGATATCCGTAGACGCTGGAAACAGGAGGCCCTGCCCTGAGCTTGTTTTTTAGAGGTCCCTGCATATCACAAATGCACAATCTTTGAGACACTGCTACCTATCTATTAGAATGGCTAAAAACAAACAAAAACCTGACAGTACTAAACTCTGGTAAGAATGTTGGGGGGTGCTGGAACTGTTGTATATCTTGGTCACGGTGATGGTTACACAACTAAATGCATTTGTCCATAAAACCAAGAGGTGAATTTTGCTATATGTAAATTTAGAAATAAAAAAGATACATGGGTGGGGCGCCTGGGTGCCTCAGTCGTTTGAGTGTCTGCCTTCGGCTCAGGTCATGATCCCGGGGTCCTGGGATGGAGCCAGAGTCAGGCTCCCTGCTCAATGGGGAGTCTGCTTCTCCCTCTCCCTCTGTCCCTCCCTGCCCCCACTCATGTGTGCTCGCACGCTCGCTCTCTCTCAAATAAATAAAGTCTTTTTTTTTTGTAAGATTTTATTTATTTATTTGACAGAGAGACACAGCAAGAGAGGGAACCCAAGCAGGGGGAGTGGGAGAGGGAGAAGCAGGCTTCCAGCTGAGCAGGGAGCCTGATGCGGGACTCGATCCCAGGACCCTGGGATCATGACCCGAGCCGAAGGCAGACGCTTAACGACTGAGCCACCCAGGCGCCCCTAAATAAATAAAGTCTTAAAAAAAATACACAGGTGCCTCTTTCACTTGGGATCTGGCTTTCGGTCCTGGTCGAGTGTGACGTGGAGCTCTAGCCCCTTTTGTGATTAACACCATTCTTGCGCTGGGTCCTCAAAACACAAGGTAACTGAGTCTGAATTCCATGCAGGTTGGTGGGTTGTGCTACTGCTCACCTTGGAGTGTGGGGAGGATCTGAGCCGTGGAAGCGCTTAGGTGAGAGAGAAGATGTCTTAGTCGGCTTACCCAGTCGTACACCCAGCACAAAAAGCTGGTAGTGGTGAGCGCCCATGGTCTCTCTGTGTTCTGCTTTGGGGTTCTGGAGCGGATCCAGAATCAGTGTGATATTCAAACTGTTACACAACGGCTGAAGAAGATGTTGGTGTATTAAACAATTCAGAGTATTCTTTCAGGTATACATAGGTAGGCCCAGATGTAATAAGTGTGAAGCATAATGCCAATTCTTTACATTGACTGCTAGAATCATCAAGGATTTTCTTCTCTTTTCTTAATGATTTTTTTTTTTTTAAGATTTTATTCATTTATTTGAGACAGAGAGAGCACATGAGAGGGGGGAGGGTCAGAGGCAGAAGCAGGCTCCCCGCCGAGCAGGGAGCCCGATGCGGGACTCGATCCCGGGACTCCAGGATCGTGACCTGAGCCGAAGGCAGTCGCTTAACCAACTGAGCCACCCAGGCGCCCCTTAATGATTTTATTTTTATAAATAGTTTAGAAGACCTTTCAAAGAAGTCAGCGAGGACTTTCAGGTTCATTTAGATAATTTTGATTTAAAACTTTGATACTCAATAAGTATGTATTCCCTTTTGTTTTTAATAGAAACTTTGAATGTTTTAGAAAAAGAACTCTTTTGAAATTATACATGGAAGCAATTTTAATTTTTTATTGTTTTCACTTACTTTACATTTTGATAAAAATA